CTGGAGTTTCACTCCCATGATACACTCTGTGGCTCTGCCTCAGCAAACACAAGCAGCATTTACAGTGTATTTATATGGTTTAAAAAAAAAAAAAACAAAAAAAAACAAGGCACCTTACATACTGTTAAGACAACATTTTGTAAAAAGTTACTGTTGCTGATATATTGTCTTCAACTCTGACATGCTTGCTCATACTTTTTAGAGCAAGCTACAAAACCAGGAGAAAAGAAGTCTTATGTCTTGGAAAACTCCTCTCTGCTTTGTGGAAAATCCTTTATTACAATTGCTAAAAAAAGAGGATGTATTTTCTCCCCCAAAGATATCCTAAAAAAAAAAAAAAAAAAACAAAAAAAAACAAACTAATTTAATGGATAAACTGAATTCAATGCATATTTAAATGGTTTAAATTTCTTTCAGTTGTTCCAAAGCAAAGCTGTCCTGATATTTTCTAGAAGGCATCAGAAATATACCTACGTAAACTAAAGATTTTACACATTTTGGAGCCTTCCTGAGGGTCCCAGTCTTTCCAGCTGCTTCCCAGATGGATGCTTATGTGCACAGGAATAGGGCTCACTGGAGTTTTCAGGACTGATTTCTCCTGCATCTTTCCTGCATCCCAGTGAAGGGCTTGAAAGGGAGTGCAAAGAGAAGAGGGACTGCTGCATCCCTCCTTTCCAAGGCCTAAGGAGCTGTTTTTCTGCCAGTAGGGCTGAGGGCCATATATGGGCTAGCAGTGGGGATACAGTTCTCACATAGAGAGAGGGAGTAAATCCCTATTTACTAAATTTAATAAAATTATGCATTAGTCACATTCATTTTTTCCAATCCTTTGCATTTTTCCTTCCAACATTATGAACTACTTACTAACTCATGCTACTTTTTACTATCTTGCTAGCACTTTCGTCTCACATTTTAAATAGTTTGGGTTTTGATTGCACTCTTATAAAAATACTTTCAGACTGGGGAAAGTGGTTTGTAAACCATCATTTAATGCCTTCCAGCCTAGCTTCAAGTGATCCTCTCCTTTATTTCAAAAGTGCTGGGGCCTAGCACAATTCAGAGCTCCCTGTTATGGTCATGTACTTTCTCTTCACCTCCTTTCAATGTTGAAGAGATATATTTTTGTTCAGCTTTCTATCTCATTCAAATTGAGATTACTACCATTAAGATGCATTTGGAGAACAGAATTCTACTCTTTCCTGTTTATTTTTGGCTTTTAGATAACTATGCTTGATAATTACATGTAACCACTTCACTTTGTAATATATTCCCCATATTTCCCTTCCAGCTGACCTAATACATTCATACAGTAACATACTACAAAGTTCACTAACCCTTTTTTATCTGGAGGCATAATTGGGACTCTGTGTTCATGAATCTCTGAAGTCCACATCAATCCTTCTGAGCAAACATCCTTTCAAATGCAGATAGAGTACTTTTTCTCAACTCAGTGAAAAAAGCTCCTTTGCTCCTTTATTATGTGCTTTATGATATGTTTCATAATTTTAAATGGTGAGAAATGCTCATGCTTAAATTTCATGGTCTTTAAAATCAGTTTTGAATTCATGTTCAACAGTGGGTGAATCAGAGTTGACCTGCCTGTTAAAGGACTATGAATATAATTCTGCCCTGAACTCTGTGCAAACCTCTTTTGTGGCAGCTTCTTTCACTCAAGGTTTAGTGTGTTTGCCTGTATGGGGTGGCTTTCTTTCCCACTGCAGGTTAATGTTAGGTAACAAAGAATCTGGAGGTCTCTCAGGCATGTGTGTCACATGTACACATGGATGCATGCCATCCCAATTAGCACATGCCGGAGTTTTGGACTGTGATGCTCTGCAGTCCTGCCACCAGTAACACCCACTCGAGGAGACTTGTACCTCTGACAGCCTCTCAGCCATTTCCACATAAAAGCTCCTATGGCCCAGGAAACTAACTGAAGTTACGCATCAGCTGATGTACCAAAAAAAAAAAAAGAAAGAAAGACTCAGTCTGTTTTTGCACACAGCCCAGGTGACCTCCTGGCCCCACCTGTAGGCATTCCTAAAGCTTGGGATGTGAGTGTGAGCAACTGCTTGTGCATGACAGCTGCTCAAACTGTGCTGCTATAGCAGACACAGCTCCTTCAATCACCTTGAATTAAGTACCAGCTAGTGACAACTCAGGGCACAGACTCTCTGTGGTCTAAGGCCCTGATCCAGAAAAGCATTTAAGTGTGTGCTTGTTTATCCTTTCTGTACAATGTTCATAAGCACATGCATAGATATAAGGACATTTTGAAGTCCTATTGAAATAATTTTGTGAGAGACTGGGATAAACAAATCCTGGCCATGCTATAGATAGAAATTTGTCAAATAAAAAGGTTGTGTTTATCTCTTAGATTTCTGCTAATAGAACTAGGGTGTGGCTTTCTACTGAAATGTTGCAGTGCAAGTAAAAATTACTTTGGAAGTCTCTTTAAGACACTGCCTTTGTCTTTTTTCATTCCCTATTTTTCATTAGCAGTTCACCACAAAGAATGCATTCCCCACCAATTCAAAAATAAGGCCAAGCAGCATGTTAATCTGCATTGCCTGTAATTGCCATGTGGTGTATTTCAGAAAACACTGTTACATATTTTGCTACTTTAAAACAAAAAGCAAACCAAATGGTCACACAGAAGATACCTAATCAGTCTGCCAGCACATCTCTCTGACATGAAAAATTTATTCTCTCTAGATTGATCAGGATCTTGTATGAGTATGAATGCTATCTGGCTTTCATGCCCAGACATACATATGACCAAGTGTATGGCTAAGAGTGATGTTCAGCAAAGTTGCTTGACTATCTGTGACTGGTGGGAAAACTTGCTATTTGGTTCTCCAGTTGAATCAGGGTCATTTTTTGGGGGGCAGATGAAGAAAGAGATACCATCTGTACTTCTTGTTCTGATTGTTACAGGAGTACTTGAATGGCTGGCAAAATGCTAGTAGTATTTTTCCCTGCTGAAAAATAAAATAAATTAAAATATCCTTGGTCATATAATGCTCTTTGCTCTAAATGGTTGGTGTGACCTAACAAAAGAAGATGCACTTCATGTATTACTCCAGAATAATTTGCCTCACCAAAATCCACAAGATTCAGATATATAGTATTGCATATAAAAGAAGGCAAAACAATTAAGGGTTTTGGCTCTGCCTACTTTCTTCTGGAGACACTTAATTTGCACCAAAAAAAAAAAAAAAAAACAAAAACAAAAAAAACCAGACAAAAGTAAAGGATGGCATCTTTTCTTTCTTTGAGCTGATGGGAAATTTGCATTCGACTCTGAACCAGAATTTAACCTTGGATCTGGATCTTGGGGGTAGAAAAAGATGTTTAGAAGTAAGAATATAGGAAAGCTAAAGACAGTGACTATCTGAGTCTCCAAACAGCCAGAAATGCTTTCATGTGTTGCTTTATGCATTGTATTTTCATATAGACAGCTTTGGAAGGAATGGTCTACATTAATAAAGAAATTATAGTGGTCTTTTAAGACCATCTTTGTTCACTCTGTGTACTAAGCCTGAGGGTAGGTCAGGACCACCAGCAATTTAAAAAAAACCAATCCAAATCAGAAGAAAGCCCCTCAGGACAGTGAGCATAATGGTCACTACTAAAGTAGAAATTGTAACAATGCTATTACTGGATAGTAAAAATGACTAATATATTAATATAATATATATTGCTAATATAATAGTATATATTACTAATATAATTATACTATATTAATGTATTATACTTATGTATAACTAATATAATTATATGTAATCATACTGACAAAAGATGGAAAAATTCATCATAGAGAACGAGCTGCAAAAAAGCAACACCTTATTCTTCTACTTAAACAAAAAGAACTGCTTTGTAGAGTGACATGCCTTTTACCTTTCATTTGACCTCTACTGTCTTTTTATTTAAGGCTTCAATAGATTTTGGCTTTGTTGTTGGGAAGTATTTAATTAAAACAAGTAGGAATGAGCAGGAAGGATTGTTCCATACAATAATGCCACACACCTTAGTGAGCCACAAATTGTTAGCATTTTAACTTTGAAGATTTACCCAGTTTAAACCTTAAAAGTGCTAACAGTTTTGCTATATATTAATTATTTATGCATGCTATGATGAAATTATTAGGAGGAAAGTATTGAATATTTTGAGAGCTATAAAAGCTCATTCTTTTAATTAGCACTGGATTAATCTCAATATTTTTAAGACTGTATTAGCAGCAAGGTGTACTTTTGTGAAGAGTTAAACACTAGCCTCCTCGGCAGGGACAGCTGAATTTCACTATTCGAGACTGATACATTCTTCGGCATTTTTTTCTTCATGTAAGGATCACAGAGCACGGTACTAATAACGCCCAGGGCGCAGGTTCGATCCCTGTATAGGTCATTCACTGAAAAGTTGGGTTCAACAGTCCCTGGGGGTCCTTCCAACTCAGACTATTCCGGTGATGCTTCTGGTGATGATTCTGGTGAACACGGCTTACGCAAAGCACACTGGACACACAACTTTGGAACAGCCGCCCATGAAACAAGAATGAGTCAAAATAATTCAAGCCAAGGGACAATATAAAAGCTTGTGAAGAATCACAATGTTCCATTTTATATTCCCTTAAGCAGAGCAGTAGGAAGGGCAGAGACACAGGCGGGCTGGCCCAGGGCGGACAGAGCCGGGGTGCTGCGCTCCCTGCGGGCCCGGGCGCGGCGGGTTCGGCGAGGGCAGCGGGACGGGGGGCGCGGCCGCCCCAGCCCCTCGGGGCCAGGAGAGGTCCCAGCGTGGCACTGCCCGGCCGGAGGCTCCGGGACCCCCCCGGTGCCGCCCCACCGCCC